TTTAACAGTTAGGTTAAACATTAGGTAGGCTTTATTTTGGAAGCAGTTAAGATTGCTTCAAAGCCTCGACTTGATTATATACTACTACTTTTTACTAGCTTACTCTTTTTACTAGTACTTATTTATGAAGAATCATGGAAATGTTGATGTTCACCCACAAAAAAAATGTGTGTACATTTTTGGTTGACAGTGTTTAGGGGGTGCAGTGTATGAAGTGGATAGGGGGCGCCATTTCGCTGAAATTCTGTGAAAATCTTTAATAAAACATTGCAAATAATCAAGCTTATTTGTTACTAATAATTAAACATTTTTATGTAACTATTGTTTTGCATTTTAAATTAGTTAAAACATTTATTTCATTTTAAAGTGAGTATACCTTTGGTCACATGACCAAAATGAATAGCTAGATAGACGTTCTGGGATGCAGAACAGAAAAAGATAAAGGAAAAATGAAACACAATGCATTAAAATTAGGACAGCAATGTCCAAGTGAACAAACAAAATTTGGTTTAAAAAAAAAAAGATTTTTTCAAAAAAATCAAAAGTTGAGAAAACTTAAACGTTTAAGGCAACCAGCTTCAGCAGATTTTTGCGTTTTCTCAACTTATTTTTGTAGGAGATTTTTGAGTTTTCTCAACTTATTTTTGTAGGAGATTTTTGAGTTTTCTCAACTTTTTGTTGTGTATTCAGTTTATACAACAAAAAGTTGAGAAAACTCAAAAATCTCCTACAAAAATAAGTTGAGAAAGCTCAAAAATCTGCTGAAGCTGATTGCCTTAAACTTTTAAGTTTTCTCAACTTTTGAGTTTTTACAGTGAGGGGGTAAAAGATATGACCCCCGGATGAGTCTGCATCCCTTCAAGCAAGAAACAATGTGTGGAAACCGCCATGCAACGTTGTACTACTACTTTCCTAAATTGCACTGGTATCTGTCACAGCCAGCAGAGGCATATTTTGGGGTTGGGTTTGTGTTTAAATGGACAAGGTGAGGAAATACAGAGTGCAAGTTAACGCCCCCTTGGGGTAAAACGCCCTACTACCGTTATATTCTGTTTAATTTTAAGATAAAACTGTCTGTATTCTGATTTTGCTGTATTTTATAAAGCAAATAGCTTTTTAAGCCCCTTGGTACAAATTTAAGTTTTGTTAAAAATCCAATAGCCTAACATGAAAATTCTGTACTTGGTTTATAATTTGTATGTCACTGTCACTATTATGATAATAACTATTCTATGTAATTTTTTCAGAGTAAAAAATTACGGTCCTTAAAGGGATAGTTCACCCAAAAATGAAAATTCTGTCATCATTTACTCACCCTCATGTCGTTCCAAACCTGTATAAGTTGCTTTCTTATGTTGAACATAAAAGAAGATATTTTGAAGATTGCTGGTAATCAAACAGTTGGTGGTTGCCATTGACTTCCATTGTATTTCTTTTCCTATGGAAGTCAATGGCAACCACCAACTGTTTGATTACCAGCAATCTTCAAAATATCTTCTTTTGTGTTCAACATAAGAAAGCAACTCATACAGGTTTGGAACGACATGAGGGTGAGTAAATGATGACAGAATTTTCATTTTTGGGTGAACTATCCCTTTAACGTGATAGTTCATCCAAAACTGTCTGACTGTTTCTTCCATCTAACACAAAAGGTGAAATTTTGCAGACTGTTTCCTATGCTCTTTTACAAACACTCAAAATGAATAGGGACCGAAGCGTTCACACTTCAAAAAGGGAACAAAAGCAGTATAAAAGTATCATAAAGTGGTCCATTCGACTTATATTCCAAATCTTCAGACATCATACATTAGCCTATTGTGAGACTGTTTGGAGTCATGATTCACTCATAATTTTTACCCCCAGTGAATCAGTGAGTTAACTGGATCATTCTGGTTCACAAACAAATCATTCAAACCATTTTTATGTATTGATCCATTGATCAGATCTGACTCAAAGAATGACTCGTTAATTGTTCATGACATTGTTGACATGATTAATTAATGAGGTTAATACTTCACTTGTGAACGCACAGCCTTATTGAATGGCTTCAGACATGTTTGAATATAGGGCACGGGTCATATGAAATACTTTTATGACACCTATGTGGTGCGATAACTAAAATTGTTA